TCCCCACGCCCCCCCCCCACCCAAAAAAAAACCCCACAAGGCTGTTGTGTTAGATTCTGGGCACATGATTGCTCTGAGGCCTGAGAATATGCTCGTGCTTCTAAGTTTCATTGGAGTAAAGCTGGTGCCATAGTATTATTCTGCGTCCCAGTTACTCTGACTTTGAATAAGAGGGACCAGTGAGCTGCTTGGGGATAGATTAAGTTAACTTTGGAGATGTCGGGAGGAGCTGTTTACATTTCAGGGGGGAAGGCCAGGATATAGCCAGTCTCCTGCCTCCGGGCGTTAACAGTCTTGCCCCTGACTCTGGGGGGACACTCCCCAGGCTCGGGCTCTCCACCCTGCTCATCCTCACCAGGCTTGAGGCCTCACCACAGTCTGTCCTGCTGTCACACCTTGGGGGTCTGGAGACGGGGCTCCCCCCCAGGCCAGGGAGAGGACAGATCAGGTTCCTCACCCCTCCCCACACTTTGGGAAGCTGAAGTTGCAGGGAGAGTGTGTGCACCTACCCCTCCCTTCAGATCCCGACCTTCTTCTCCCAAACAGCTGGAGCCCACACAGAGAACCCTCTGCAGCCCATCCCAAGAGGTCACAGGGTGTTGTCAGGTGGGGAGGCCCCGCCAGAGCCCTGGCAGCCGCGTGGGGGAAATGGAGAACTGACCTTGTGACCAACGGATATTCTTGAGGACTGGGGATGTCCAGGCAAATGGACGAAGCTAGGTTCCTTCGGAGTGATGCCTCCTGGGTAAGAACGAGCAGAACAGGCATGGTAAAGGGAAGAATTTTGGATGTTTCATTTTCTTGCATTCTAATGTAAAAGAAAAGTATACTGAGATTTTGTTTTGTGTTACTTTTGAAATTAGGAGGGGGGGGGTTAGGTTCAAATTTAGAGTACTTCTTGGTTGCTAGAAACTGTTTACCAGTTTATCAGTTTATTAAAAGATATGATAGAGGATACAGTTGAACAGGCAGACAACGAAATACCCAGGGCAAGGTCCAGGAGGGTCCTGAGGGCAGGTGTTTCTATCCCAGTGGAACTGGGTGATGTCACCCTCCTGGTGTGTGGATGTGTTCACCAACCTGGATGCTGTTGTCTTGGAGTTAATTTTGGTCCCCTCTGGACCCAATCGAGAGGACTGGGGGGCAGTAGTTAATTGGCCACCCCAATGATTCCAGGAGGATATACAAAGAATGGTGATGAGAACTTGTTACGTCATTTTTTGTTTGTTTGTTTGCAAGTATTAAGTGAGCAAATATATGTAAAGCACTCAGAAACTTATTTCCCCATTTCCTGTTTGGAAATCTATTTCTTATTTCCTTCTTTCACATAGCAGGGGCTACAGAAATCAGTGGGCCATATGATATGGCCACTTTGGTTTTTTTTTTTTGTTTTGTTTTGTTTTTAAATTTTTTAATGTTTATTTATTTTTGAGAGAAAGGGTAGACAGAGCGTGAGTGGGGGAGAGGCAGAGAGAGAGCAAGACACAGAATCCAGGCTCTGAGCTGTCTGAAGCAGGCTCCAGGCTCTGAACTGTCAGTACAGAGCCCGACACGGGGCTCGAACCCACGAACCGTGTGATCCACCGAATCATTAACCGAATGAGCCACCCAGGTGCCCCTGATATGGCCACTTTGTAGGTCAGGAATGGCCAAATATCTGTGATGTGGGAGACTGCTCTGATGCATGGCTTGTCTTCTCCTCCCCCCTCCCCTTCCCTTCCTGTCTTTCCAGCCATACCTGTGATTGGTTGCAGATCCTAGGTCCACATGTTAAGCCAAAAGGGTGGAGAGAAGAGAAGGTTACTCCATGTTGAGGGTGTTCCCTCTTAGAAGCACCCTCCCCACAAGAGGAGCAGGTTGGAGGGAATACTTCCCAGCCTGTTTTCCCGTGTGTTGCTTACTCTCCTTTGGGGGAAAAGTAGATGATCCTATGGGTGAGAACCCCAGAGTAGCTCATCCTGCCCTATCTCTCATTTAGTCTGTGAATCGGGGGTGAGGTGGGGTAGGGTGGGGTGGGAATGGGGAGATGGGGTCAAAGCCGAAGGCTCCTTTGGCCTGGGGTCTCCTATCCAGTTTTAACCGAGAGCCCTGAATTTTGGGTTTATAAAACATCTGTCCAGCTGCTAGGAAGCTGGATGCTTTCACCATTATGTAATGACCCTCATGTCATTTTTTTATTGGTCTCAACTGGAGGGTCAGAACAATGAGTCTGGGGCTTTTAATCTCCAAGACACTTCAATTTTCCTAACCTAATCTTCTCAAGGACCTTCCCCTCCAATTCTTTCCTAAACTCCAGAATCTCTCACCACCTTCCTCTGTCATTTTGGCAAGAATTTATGCCTCATCTCAAGAATTTATGCCTGGCAAGAATTTATGAGAAAGACCCATAATAGAACTTTCCATCTAGGTTGGGTGATGTTTTTGGTGGAGTTGTGAGTGTGTCTTTGTATTGGAGGGGAGGGTGGGTAACTAAGGGCAGTGGGCAGGTGGAAACTTTCTGTACCAGGAAAAAGCGAAGGAAGGAAGGATGGAGATTATTTTATCTGCCCCCAGCTGTGAACACACTTCCAGTTTTTTCTGGGCCAGGGCAGCACCTGGCCTGAGTTGCTGTGGGTGGATCACCCTGTTGATCTTCCAAGTGCATTTTTTTTTTTTTTTAATGTCCTGGGGGTAGGATAATAGACATCAGAGGTGGCTCCTGCGTTGGAAAAACTCAGTCATCCATCTGTCTTTCCTTATTCACACACAGAACACTTCACTTCTGACACTTCTGGTTCCCAGTGCGTGTGAGTTTTCTCCCATCAAGCAACTCTGGTCAACTGGGTGTCCTACAATCCAACTCAGCTCTGACAGTACCTGGAGGTTGCGTCAGCTCCCACAGGGAAAGGGCTCAGTCCCACAAGACTGTCCTCCTTCAGATGCCAATTGCAAGTCTAGGTTGTCACCTGTTCTTCTGACTGATCGGCTATAAATCATATAAATCAGAGCTTCCCGTGATCCTTCACTTGAGTTCAATTAACTTGCTACAGCGGGTCACAAAACTCAGGGAAATGCTTTGTTTACCAGTTTATCAGTTTATTAAAAGATATGATAGAGGATACAGTTGAACAGGCAGACAACGAAATACCCAGGGCAAGGTCCAGGAGGGTCCTGAGGGCAGGTGTTTCTATCCCAGTGGAACTGGGTGATGTCACCCTCCTGGTGTGTGGATGTGTTCACCAACCTGGGTGCTCTTAGAACCTCACTGTAGTGGGATTTTATGGGGACTTTATCACATGGGGCATGATCAATCATTGACTCTGTTTCCAGCCCCTCTCCCCTCTCCAGTGAAGTAGGGGTGGGGCTGAAAATTCCAAGCTTCTAATGATGGCTTGGTCCTTCTGGCGGCCAGCCTCCATCCAGGAGCCTCCAAGAGTGCACCAGAGTCACCTCATTAGAACAAAAGATGCTCCTGTCACTCTTATCACTTAGGAATTTACAAGAGTCTTAGGATCCCCATCGCTGGGATGCATCAAAGTCCAGATATTAGAACAGGGATGATTCTTTTTTTTTTTTAATTTTTTTTTTCAACGTTTATTTATTTTTGGGACAGAGAGAGAGACAGAGCATGAACGGGGGAGGGGCAGAGAGAGAGGGAGGCACAGAATCGGAAACAGGCTCCAGGCTCTGAGCCATCAGCCCAGAGCCCGACGCGGGGCTCGAACTCACGGACCGCGAGATCGTGACCTGGCTGAAGTCGGACGCTTAACCGACTGCGCCACCCAGGCGCCCCGAGAACAGGGATGATTCTAATGTGCTTATCATTTAGGAAATTACAAGGATTTTGAAGCTTTGTGCCAGATATGGGGGAACAGAGACCAATACATATATTTTCTATTATCTCATAGTTTCCTTCCTGCATCGTATCTCCCTTTGAATAGGCAATCTTCCTTCCGTTTGTAAGACCGAGAGAGATTTTTATTTTCCCAGTCTCTTCTTTCCCCATTTGGTCCCATATGCCTTTATAGTGAAAACTGCCCAGGGTTGTGTGTGTGTGTGGGGGGGGGGGGTAATTTGGCACATATTAGGTAGATGAGTGTGACATATAGTAGACACTGGGTGGATGTGTAGACCCCATCCACCCTGAGGTGAAGCTGAAGTCTTGGCAAATGGGGATGTAGAGGAAGGAAGGTGGAGAGAAGATGAGAGGGCACAGGATGGGACCCTGGGAGCATAGAGTGCATGGTCAGAAAATGTGCCAGGAAGGAAATGGGGGGCTTGGAGAACCAGTAGAGTGCAGCACATTGGGAGGTCAGTGCGGGGAAACTTTCTAGAAGGGGTAATCGTGTCCAGTTCTGCAGAGACCATGAAGAGAGGAGTAGGGACCAGAAATAGCCACCGGGCTTGTTGCTGTCAGTGATGTTGGGGGGAGCAGTTGCTGGAGGGTGTGAAAATGCAGATTGCAGGGGGTGAGGGGTGCAGGGGGTGAGGGAGCAGGGAGGCAGTGTGGATGAAGAGGAGGGGCAGCTTGAGGGGAGTCACGACCTCACAGAGGATATTTTGGGACGTGGAGACTTGAACAGGTTGTAAGCTGAGGAGGGGAGGTTTAAAATTAGAGCGATGGGGTAACTCAGGAAGAATCCTAGCGGAGTGGGGGCCTCCGCCTTCCCTCCTGGCCCGACAAAGCCACCACAGAGCCAGACTGGGATGCAACGCTTTAATAAGGGACGTGGGGAGCTGAGAGATGGTGGTCGGGGCAAGGAGGGTTTGGGTGCCGTAGACACCAGCTTTGGCCGGGACTGGGCCTTATTATCATTAGGGCCTTATGACTTCATAGGCATGAGGGAGTAGGTTTTTCAGATAGCTCATGGTTTCTTTTACAGTTTTGTCCAGATTCTTCCCGATTTTATGGCCGAGCTTGGCCAGTTTTCCCTCTGAGGTGGTTGCTGGGGAACGTTGGGAGAGAAATGGCAAAGTAAGGTTAGTCCCCTCACGCCTCCCCCACACTCCTCAGTGCTGGCACAATCAGCGGATCCTCCAAATCTCATTTACCTTTTTTTTTTTTTTTTAAATTTTTTTTTTCAACGTTTATTTATTTTTGGGACAGAGAGAGACAGAGCATGAACGAGGGAGGGGCAGAGAGAGAGGGAGACAAGAATCCAAAACAGGCTCCAGGCTCTGAGCCATCAGCCCAGAGCCTGACGCGGGGCTCGAACTCACGGACCGCGAGATCGTGACCTGGCTGAAGTCGGACGCTTAACCGACTGCGCCACCCAGGTGCCCCGTCATTTACCTTTAATTCTTGTTCCCCTTCAGCTTCCTTTCTCTTTCCACCCCCAACTTTCTCCCCCAAGGTAGTGTCCCGCCACCGCGTTTTTCTGTTTAATGCCTCCCTCCCGGCTTCTTCCCCTTGGCCCTGGCTCCTACCAGTCCTGGGAGTGAGTTCTGTAGTCTCTTCTGACTGAGAGGGAGCATTTCTGATACTCCTCCTGGGGGATGGGGTGAAGCAGCTCGGGCCTTTGACGCTTTGGTTTCCTGGTAGATTTGGTCATATCATCCTCTTCAAAAACCAGCTCTTCTCTGGAGATGAGAGATTCCTCAGAAAGGTTTTCAATGGAGACACGGTCCTTTTCGCATATCAGCTGAGCAGCTGGGACCAAGGAGATGGAATGAGGGGCAGAGAAAGAGCTCATGGTAAGCAACAGCCAGCCAGCTCTCTGCCATATCCCTTAACATGCAGAGAGTGTCAGAGTTGAGCCATTGCTCAGTCAGTGTAGACCAGAATTGAGATCCAATGCCTGCATCCAAATTTATGAGCACCTAAGGGCACACCCCTGATTTTGAATGCCGTTGAATAGGGATTCCATTCTAGCACATTCACCTTCCCGATGAAAAGAGATTAACTATGCAAACACCCGATCCATTGTCTGGTGCATAGGAGGGGCTCAATAAATACTGGCTCTTTTTTTCTGAGTTCTGGGTATTGCTTGAGTCTTCCTTCTCCGATAAATTGGGGGAAGCTAGCCTGAGACTGAATTGTGTTTATGGATAATCTACAAAGCAGGGTCCTGCGATATTCATGACTTTGAGGCCGTGGAGGAGCCTGGGACCGAGGAGCCCCTCCAGCATCCTCCCCTCAGGGTGAGCTGAAACTCCCTACCTGCTAGCATTTGGGTATGAGATATAGTCATCTTCAATGACTACCCAGCATGAAGTGCTGTTCAAATTGTTCCCGGTCCCCAGATCTTGGCCAATTAGTGCAGCAGGAAGGATTAAGGTCCAGCGCCAGGAGGGATGGTCTCTGCTCCATTTCTTCCTCAGGTGGAGAATTCATCATTTACTGGACCATCTTTCACTACCACCAACTCCCTCTAAAGGATGCCAACATGAGACTTACGGGCATTTATGGGTTGAGCCTGCAAGTGGATGTCATCTTCTGGCTCTGAAAAATAAGGGGTTAGAGTTTCTGGAGGTCTTAAGACATTTGACATGTGAGATGCTTGTATGTACCCACTCCCCACCCAGCATTTCCACCTTCCTTATCCTGTTCTCTGTCTTAGCACTTCTTTTTGTTTTTTAAAAAATTTTTTTAATGTTTATTCATTATTGAGAGATAGAGAGAAACTGAGCATGAGCAGGGGAGGGGCAGAGAGAGGGGGAGACACAGAATCTGAAGCAGGCTCCAGGCTCTGAGCTGTCAGCACAGAGCCCGACGTGGGGCTCGAACTCACCAACTGTGAGATCATGACCTGAGCCGAAGTCGGACGTCCAACCGACTGAGCCACCCAGGCGCCCCTGTCTTAGCACTTCTAACACACTTATATAATTTGTTTAATATGCCAATTATCTGTTTCTTTCTCCTAGAATGACATCTCAATGATGACTGAGGTCTCTGTGTTTTGTTAGTGTATCTCAAGTGCCTAGAGCTGTGTGTCTGGCACAGAGTAGGTGCTCAATAAATAGTCGTTAAATGAATGTGTGTATATGTCTTGCCCTCATTGTTACAGAGGGAGGCCGGGGGGCCCAGAGGAGGTCAGTGGCTTTGGTGTGTCCAGCACCCTCAGAGGCTGGAATCTTATCTGAATCTGTTAACCCATAGTCCACCTTGATTTGGGTCCAGTTGGCTCCTCTGGCCCCAGCGCCAGGATTTCTAGGGTGCAGGATTCCTGGTATCATGAGTCCTAGTCCCCTGCCTCCACACCTCAGCCATCCCGGGTGTGCACTTTTGGTTATGCGTTCTCCACACGGTGCATTACAAGGATTAAGGAGGGGTCTTCCTACTGCTGACGACTCTCCAGGGGACAGCTCAGTGACCTCTGGGGAACAAAGAGGAGTGTAGCAGAAGCCAGACTCACCATTAAGGATGGCGAGAGATGTGGAGGCTCAGGTGGCCAGCAGCAGGATGGTAAAGAATCTCATGGTGAACCTGTAGCCAGATCCGTCTTCCCTGGGGAGTCTGTTGAGTGTTGCAGAGGCAGTAGTCCGGCAGAGGCTTTAGGCTTTATTTATCTTGGGGTGGGAAAGGGCTCTGGGGAACCTGGTTCCGGATTGGATCTGGGGGCATTCCAGGTTTCCCCTCCCAAATTCCCTTTTCTGAATACATTTGTTGTTGGGAAATGGAGCTTCTGGGAAACCAGTTAACAGGAAAGTAAGGCCCCCAGCATTTCCCTGGCGTGGGCCATGCCAAAGGTGTGTCAGCCCCAGGCTCCACCTCCGGAAGTCCTTGGAATAACTAAGTGGGTGTGAGTTTCTCTCCTTCATGGTACTCATTATTGGTGTAATTTTATTTTTATTTGTGTAATCAGTTAATATCTCTGTGCCCCAGGAGGACAGAACTTCCGTGATGGGTGGTGGAACTATGTTTTGCTTGCCACTGTTTTCCCAGAACCTAGAAGGAGCTGGTACATAGTAGGCACCCAGAATATATTAGGAGGGTGAATGAATAAAGGCAGGTAGGCTGCAGATAAAACTCTGTCAGTTCAGGAATGAAGGAGCGCGGCCGTTATAGGAATTCTGATTACATGCCAGGTACTGTGCAGAGTTTGTTCATATGGGATATTTTACTTAATTCATCATGGTTGTGAGGTATGTGTTACTCATCAAGCAGGAAAAGTGATATTCACAAAGGTGAGGTCACACATCTGGGTGGATTTGAACCCATGTGAGTCTAACTCCAAACTCTGTGCCTGCTACAGGTAAGGTCTGGTGGCTCCAGAGGTGGGTGAGATGCCCAAAGAGCCACATGAGAGGTGGTGGGGGACGCACCCAGGACTTGGGCCTGGCTCTGGGCCTAGGGCTGAACTCATTGATCTTCTGTGCCTCCCTCAGGTTGGAATTTTTGAAAAGTTTTTATTTAAGTTCCGGTTAGTTAACGGACAACGTCATATTAGTTTCAGGTGTACAGTGTAGTGAGTCAACACTTCCGTACGTCATCCTGTGCTCATCACAAGTGCCCTCCTTAATCCCCATCACCTATTTCACTCATCCCCCCCCTCCCCCACACACCTCTGGTAACCACCAGTTTGTTTGTTCTCTATTGTTAAGAGTTTGTTTCTTGGTTGGCCTCTCCCCCACCTCTCTTTTTCCCCCCTTT